ATATTAAATCTCCTGTAAGAGAAAGTAGGAGGAACTCTTGAAGACATAGGGGTAGGCAAAGACTTCATGAACAGAAATCAAATTGCACGGGAAACAGTTGAAAGAATTAACAACTGGGACCCGTTCTTACTGAGAAATTTTTTCATGTCAAAAGATTACAAAGTGAAAAGGCAACCCACAAATTTGGAAAAAATCATGACAAATAAATATTCAGACAAAGGTCTGCTCTCTAGAATTTATAAAGAACTAAAAAACACTAGGACCCCAAAATTTAAAGACCCAATCCAGAAATGGGCATCTGAGATGGTTACCTGCTTCTCTGAGGATGAAATCAAAGAAGCAAATAAAGATATGAAAAAATGCTCCACAGCACTAGCCATCCACGAAATGCAAATTAAAATGACATTAAGATATTATCTTACCCCAGGAAGAATGACTGTCATAAAGAAATCACCCAACAACAAATGTTAGAGAGACTGTGTGGAAGAAGGAACCCTTCTCCACTGCTGGTGGGAATGTAGACTGGTGCAACCATTATGGAAATCAGTGTAGATACTCCTTAGAAAAGTTGGACTGGAAATCCCATTTAAAACAGCTATTCCTCTACTGGGATCCTCCCAGAGGATCTGAAAACATCATATCATAGGGATATATGTGTGCCTATGTTTATAGCAGCACAATTTGTGATAGCCAAATCTCGGAAACAACCAAGATGCCCATCACCTGAGGAATGGTTGAAAAAGATTTGGTATTTTTACACAATGGAGTATTATTCAGCTGTTAAGAATGATAAACTCGAAGCCTTTATATATAAGTGGATGCCACTTGAACATATACTCATAAGTGAAATAAACCAGACACACATGTGTCAATGTCGTATAGTTTCCCTAGTATAAGAACTAAAAAGAAGAAATACAAATAGAAAGGTATAATACAAGTAAAAGTAAAGCAGGATCTCGAGGACTAACTAATCAAGAGAGGGAAAGGAGAAGAGCTAGGAAACATGACAATGTCAAGCCATACAGTTATATGTAGAAGATGGGCAAGGCTATGATCCTGAGAATCTCCAGAAGATTTTTGAATCTAGCCGTTAATTGGAATGATTCTTACCCTGACTAACTATATATACTGATACCCCTGAACTAAGCAATTGCACTGAAGATGATGATCTGTAATAGTAGTTTCATGTTTGGAGTGCCTGTCATTCTGGTCTTCTGAATACGGGCTGTTTTTCATGACATGCCAGTTGCTGCTGTGCTGTCTCTCAGGTAGATGATTGTTCAAAAAGAAGGGGGTGATGAATGAAGGCAAGAGATAGGAAAAGGAATATTGTGGGACTGTCCTGCTTCAAGGTTGTATATGATGAGATTTTTGGACTTATGTGTAAACATAAGAAGTATATAATTCTTTATGCCTATTTTTAAAAAAATATATTCTAATTTTTAAATGTTTTTTTCATGATATTCTATGGGGACTTAAGGTTCAACATATCAATACTTGATGAAAAATACCTGTTCCATGTTATGTGTAAGATGTTTGATATTCAGACAGATAGTGAGGTTAAGCTTAACAGCCTACGTTGGATGGTAATAACAATAAACTTGTCTTCTGGAGGGTTAACAACCTAAGTTTGCAGACCAAAATTAGAGAAAAACGAGGGCCACAAGGAAAGCCAACATTTTGGCCCTAGCCTTCCAAGGTCACTTAAGACTCAGGACATTTGAGAACTTGTACCGTAACATCAATTAACTTGGTAGTGTCCCAACTTTTCTGATCAAGGAGATTATGGAGCCACGGAGGAAAGTGATTGATGATGTAGAGTGTGCCTAAGGAGAGTCACCTGGAGAGAAAACATTCTCTCAGGCTTTCACAGAGAGCAAATTGGTCAAGCAATGGCCATGACTCATCCACATGGCTGACACTGATAAAGGATCTGCAAACTGTGGTACAGGGTTTCAGGTCAATCCTGAGGGGATTTGACTGACCTAGTCAGATACAAAAGTTACATTTCTTGCTATATAGGTCTTGCTTTATCTTGGTCTTAACCATCCAGCAGAAAAGTTTAAAAACTAAGTATCAAAAGTAAAGCCATATTATTATACTGAGCTGTAAAAGGCTCAAGTTTACAACTTATGACATTGCCAATCATATGGATAACCCACTATTATTATGGACTTCTGGACTATATTGGATTATTTTGCTGAATTCAGGCACCTACAATATTTAAATGGCAATGGAATACTCTTCTTTGACAAAACGAAACAAAAAAGGGGATAAAAATGAAGGACCATTTGTATCTGTATATACAGAATTGTTAGGATAGATATACAGTTATCTCTTAATTCAATGAAAAGAAAGATTTGTACTAATAGTGTTTGAACAAGATATTATGTCTGTATCTTGTACTATGAACAACCACTATGAAGACAACAATATGCAATGTATTAATTATTGAAATTGTCCTACTAATCGGTTTTGAAACAGTCTCATTGCTATTTGTTTCTCAATAAAAATAATAATAAAAAAGTTGTTGACTTGAGCCTTTTACAGCT